CCCGCCCCCGGCGCCGGCGCGCCTCCCCCGCCCGGACTCCCCCATGTATGACGACTCCTACGTGCCCGGGTTTGAGGACTCGGAGGCGGTGAGTGCCGCGGGGTGGGGGTGGGGATCGGGTGACCCTCCTCCCTCCACCCTTCCCCCAGTTCGGGACTGTGCGGAACGCCTCCGTGGCCGGGCCGGCGCGCAGGGGGCGCTCGAGGAAAGGGCTCCGCGCGGCCCGGACCTGGACCCGGGCGGGGTCTGCGCCCCGGGAGGCAGTGCTGCGGGGAGGCTCGAGCAGGTGGCCCCAGAGCCGCAGGACCCGAGGGCCAGAGGGAGGCAGGGCTGCGGGGAAGGAACGCGCAGTGTGTGGAGCTCCAGATTCCGGTGTATGGGGTCTGCACACAGCTGGGGAGAAGCGGGCGCTTGGGGGGCACTCCAGACCTGCACCTCAAGTAAAGGACAAATTGGGGAGCCAGGGAATGGCCTCTTCAGACTGAACCATAAAACTTGAGCCCGTTGGTTCCCTTCTGCCCTCGGGCGCTGCCTGCGCTGCCCGGCCTCCTCGCCCTGCCTCCAGCCCGCTCCGCTCCTGGCCAAGGCCTGGGCGCCCAGCACATGGGTGGGCCGTCTGACTGCGCTGCGAGGCCCGGCCTCCTGCAGAGCCTCCTCCGAGCAGGGCGTCCGGAGCTGCCCAGCATGAGGCCTGGAGGTGCGGCCAGGAGCCGAGGGCCTGGGGATGGAGAGGAAGCGCTCTGCTCAGAGAACCAGGCGGCTGATAAATATTTAATTCCCCTCTTTGCTTTTATCTCCTGACCCACTGAGACAAATCAGCTCATTAGGCAGTGATTCCAGGAGCTCAGAGCGGAGGAAGGATGCCTGGAAAGATGGGGAGCAGCGCCTTGGAGCTGCCGCCCTCCCTCAGGCACCCCAGAAGCAGGCCTTCTGAGGAGAGCAGCGCTAGGTGCTTGGAGGGCCGGACAGGTGTGGAAGGTGTCCCTCCCGGTCGGGAGTGCCAGCGCTGGGCTGGCCGAGTGCTGGGTGTGGAGCCGCAAGCTGTGCGTCCTTTTCAGGGCCGGAGCCCCTTCTGGGCCCAATCTTCCAGGGGGCCTTTGGGGCTAATTAATTCGCAGCGAGAGCAGATGATTTTCAAGGCTCTGGTGGGCACCTCCTTCTGACAGTTGAAGGGACAGCTGGCCTAGCCCAGGGTGCCAAGGTGAGCGAGAGAACAAGCCTCTCTGTGGGGCTGCAGGGCCCTAGGAGGTTCTTCCCCTCCCCGGTGAGAAGGCAGGGGCTGTGGCCAGGAGGGCGCTGACACGGGGCTGCGCTCTGAGGGCAGCCTACTGACCCCGTGCTCCCCCTTCCCCCTCTGGTTCCTGGATCAGCTCCCCCACTCCTCCTCCTCTCGCCTGGCTTCTTGCTCTCCCTGAGGCCCCCTCTGAAGCAGTGGGAGGGAGATCAGGCTCTAAATAAATCCACCGGCTCATCTCCCTCCTCTCCTTCCCCCGTGCCAAGCAAGAGAGGAGCTGCAGCCTGCCCACACACTCACCAGGCAAGGGGGGCACCACCAGGGCACTGTGCCAAGTCTGGCAGCTCCCAAGTGCTGATCTTCTGGCTGTTTCGGCATGGCAGGGGGAGGGGCAGAGAGACCCGCATGCTGCCAGGGCAGACCTGACCTCAAGGGATGGGTGAGCCCTGAGGACTGGGAGCGGATGGAAGGGGGTTCCATTCCTGCACAACTCATTAAGTATTGAGGGAGAGGTTCTGTCATCGCTTCCTAGGGTGAGAAGCCAGCTAAGCCAGACAGCCCAGGCAGGGGCATGAACATCACTAAATCAGGCTGAGCGCGTGGGCAGCGGGGAGCACCACGCCGGCGTCTAGAAGGTGTCTCGTGTGCACAGATGGTTGCCCTGCCTCGCTGCTACCTCCAGGCCTGCTGCCTCTGCCCGCTCAGCCACCCATGCCCCGCAGAGATGGCGCTTGTGGCCTAGGAACCCTGGGGAGAAGGTCCCTTGCCCTGTGCACAAGTTCTCTCTGGGGCTCAGCCTCTTTATCATCAGAGGAGCCTCACTTCGCTCTCTGGAGAGCAGCAGGCAGGTGCTGCTCCTGTGAAGTGAAAGCCGGCCCCCACGCCTCTGCCTCCTTCGGACCTTGGCTCAGGCTCAGGGCCTGGGCTGACACCCAGCCGAGCAGCCTCTTGCCCAGGGCGGCAGGGTGTGGTGGGCAGCAGGTGTGTGACTTTACCTCCTCCGCTGAGTCCTGCTTGTGTTGTCCTCTGTCGGTGGTCGTACTCCCTGGACTCCAGAGAGGGCTCCTCAGCCTGAGGACATCCTAGAGCCCCTTCCCCTGCACGTGCTCCTTTACTAGGCGCCGGCCTCTTCTCTGCCACTGACCGCCCAGGACGGAGGGAAGCAGCCCTTCAGGCTTCTTCCTATAAGGAAGGGAAACGGAGGCAGAAAAGATAGCCCGTTCCCACAACTGAGGGGGAACTCAGACAGCGTTCCGGCCGCTTAAAGTCCAGCTGCCATTACCCGTTCGAGCATCTCTTACAGCCTTGAAGGGTGACTCTGTAACTCTTCAGATGCACCCCCATCACCCACACACCCTTCCTATGGGCGGGACATGCAGACTGTCCTTGCTCATGTTGCCAAAACCCCCTCCCCAGATCCCCGGGGTCCAGTACCTCTGCGAGGTTGCCTGGCGCCAGCGTGGCCTTCCTCTAGGGCCTGATATCCCTTGGGCCTGGGGAAGGGGTGGGGAGACAGAGCAGAGTGGGAGGCACGGCCCAGCGTCGCCTGTGCCAGGGAGATGGCTCCGTGTTGCCCTCCTGGTCTGTGTCTCATTTGCCGCTCACACCTGGCCACTTGCCCCAGCAGATGTGGGAGGAAAGAAAACATGGGTTGGGGAAAGTAAAGGGCCAGGAATGTCCACGAGCTGGCGGCTCTGGGCCCGGGCACACCCTGAAGAGACAAGGACTCACCATTTGGGAGCCTCCAAAGCCTTGTGGGGTAGGAAAGTGGGACCTAAGTGGGAAGGTGGTGGTTGTATCCTGACACTCAGGCTAACCAGCATCTCTTTTGTTTTGTGTATTTTTGTTCGTGTGTGTCTATTTTGCTTTGTTTTGTTATGAGACAGGGTCTTACTATGTCGTTCAGGCTGGCCTTGAACTCACTTTGTAGCCCAGGCTGGCCTCAGATGTCAAGCAGTCCTCCTGCCTCAGCCTCCTGAATTGTGGGATTACAGGAGGACGCCACCACACCTGGCTCATTGCTGCATTTTTGCCAGACATAATGAAGGGATAATGTCCAGGCTGCTTTGCAGGCTGGTGTGAACAAGAGAGCCAGTTCTTCTGGGATCGCCAATACATCATCTTCAGTATATCTCCTTTCCCTCTGCCTCAGAAAACAGGGTAGAGGGGACAAGAGGAAGGAAAAGTAAAAGCTCTGACCACTGCGCATGGTGGCACACTTGTGTAATCCCAGCAGGCTGAGGCAGGAATATTGCTGTGAGTTCAAGGCCAGCCTGAACTACACAAGACCCTGTCTTGAAAAAACAAAAAAGAATTGAAAGCTCTGTTCAAGGCTATAGCAGTAATAGGGCTAAGGGTAGGGCAGGAACCAGATCCTCGCACATGTGGATTACAGCTCAGCTCAAGGGTATTGGGGCCCTTTTTGGGGGTGCGGGAGTGTTGGAGTCCAACTTCCCCTAGAAGATACGGAAGCCAGAAGTGACAGAGACACCAGTGTGGGCTGGGAGGGCGCCTTTATGGTATCGCACCCCTGAGGCCAGGAGTCACAACCTGTCCCCCATCCCAGGGCTCAGCCGACTCGTACACCAGCCGCCCCTCTCTGGACTCCGACGTCTCCTTGGAGGAGGACCGGGAGAGTGCCCGGCGTGAAGTGGAGAGCCAGGCCCAGCAGCAGCTCGAGAGGGCCAAGGTGTGTCTCCTGGGCGGGCAGGTAGGGCTGTGGGCAGGCTGTCCTTGGATGTGGAAGAGCACACGTGCGGGTGGAGGCTCCGGGACGACGCTGAACTCCCACGGGGCCTGTCCCTTCCTGAGGGGGCGCCTCTCCCTTGCACTGACGGCCGAATTCTCCAGCACAAACCTGTGGCGTTTGCTGTGAGGACCAATGTCAGCTACTGCGGTGTACTGGACGAGGAGTGCCCAGTCCAGGGCTCTGGAGTCAACTTTGAGGCCAAAGATTTTCTGCACATTAAAGAGGTGATTGACGTCCCCTCCTCGCAGCAGCCTCTGGCGCATAATTTCCCAGCCCTGCTCCAGATCCCAGTGCCTCTTACTTCAGATCTCTGTCTATAAATAAGTCCCGGATCCCTCCCCTGTAACCCTGACGCTTGTACACCACGCTACCCGAGACCCGGTCCCTGGGGTTTCCACCCTTCTGAGATACGGCTTGATCCTCGGTCTCCGTGTCTGTGGAGTGCGGAGTTAGATCAGCTTCCGCTGAGGTCCCCTGTAACGGCTGTGCTGCCCTACGGTGAAAGCCTGCGGCTCAGCCCAGCTCCCGTCCCACCAGCACCTCCTGCCTGCTGCCCCTTCCTCCGACCAGCTCCCCAAGGCTTCCCTAGCCCCTTCATATTGAAGCCCGCTCTCCTCCACCACCCCCGCCGCCCCACCCCACCCCAGAAGTACAGCAACGACTGGTGGATCGGGCGGCTAGTGAAAGAGGGCGGGGACATCGCCTTCATCCCCAGCCCCCAGCGCCTGGAGAGCATCCGGCTCAAACAGGAGCAGAAGGCCAGGTGAGTGCGGGGCTGCGACTCAGCAAACACCCGCCGCGCACACCACACACGCCTGCGTAACGCCCCGCACAAGCGCACAGCCAGGGCCTGCACAGGTACAGCCCTAGCACAGGAGGCTGAGACAGGAGGGCTGCCGGGAGCTCTAGGCCAGCCTTGGGTACTTGGCAAGTTCCGGGTCAGCCTGGACTACAGAGGAGACCCTGTTTCAAAAAACAAAACAACCTCCCAAAATTGGGTGGGAATTTGTGCAACTGTTAAATGTGTGGAAGCCACACAGAAACACTCTCTCCCCTTCCCCATCCCCTTGCTGCCCCCCCTGTCTTTCCCTCCGTCCTCGTCCTCCCTCTCTCCCTGTCCCTTTCCCCACCTCTGTCCTCCCTTTCTTCTCAGGAGATCGGGAAACCCTTCTAGCCTGAGTGACATTGGCAGCCGGCGCTCTCCTCCACCATCTCTAGGTAGTGCCCCAGAGCCGCCCAGCCTGGGTCGGGGTGGCTGGGGCGCAGGGCAGGGCCCTCCACAGTGACCTGCTGGGAGGGGCTGTTGGAGGGGTCTGAACAGCTGGAGCGGCCCAGTGCTCCTCTGGGGAAGGGAACGCCGTGCCCCCAGGGCCTTTTCCCTTCACCAACTTTAATCTTTTATTTCCTTTTCCAAAAAGCCAAGCAGAAGCAAAAGCAGGTGAGTCAAGGAAGGGACTTGGGCTGGGGGACTCGTGGCTCTTGGTTCTGGGGAACTTTTTCTAGGCAGTCATTGTTAGAGGGACAGAACAGGGGGCGGGAACCCAGAACTGCTGACTCCACCCCCACCCCCAAAAGGCATAAGCAGGCCCCAGGGCCAGGAGTTTGTCTGACCTGTCCATTCTGCAGGCAGAACATGTCCCCCCATACGACGTGGTGCCCTCCATGCGGCCTGTGGTGCTGGTGGGGCCCTCTCTGAAAGGTTACGAGGTGAGACACCCCAAGAATCACCCCTGTCCAGCCGGTGACAGGAAGGGCCCAGGGGCCGTGGGAGGAGTATGCTCCCATCAGGGTCTGTGTGCGGGGTGGAGCCTGGGCCGTGCAGCTGCACACGGCCTCTCTCCAGGGCCCTTAGTTAGTGCCGCCCCACCCGCCCCCCAGGTCACGGACATGATGCAGAAGGCTCTCTTTGACTTCCTCAAACACCGGTTTGATGGCAGGTGAGCTGCCCTGAACCGGCGTGGCCTTGGAAGCCTAGCTCACCACCTGCATCTGCAGGCCGGAGCGGCTCCTCTGCAGGCAGAGTTAGCTGGGTAAAGTGAGGCTGAGACGAGTTTAAACCAGCTGTGATTCTCCGCCCTCACGCCAGGATCTCCATCACCCGAGTCACAGCTGACCTCTCCCTGGCAAAGCGGTCTGTGCTCAACAACCCTGGCAAGAGGACCATCATCGAGCGCTCCTCGGCCCGCTCCAGCATTGGTGAGGAGCCCCGTCCTGCTTCTCTGCCCGCTCAGGCGCCAGTGCCAGCCTGTCCCCTTTTCCCTTCCCCAGCTCCTTGTCTTCCTGCCCCTCTCCTCCTCTGCCCGCCCCTCTTCAGGAGCCCCCCCACTCCCTGGCCCTCTGCCCAGCCAGGCTCCTGGTTCCTTCCTGTCCACCCCGGGAGGTTCCTTCCTGTCCACCCCGGGAGCCCTGCTGTGGGAGTGAGCCGTGGGTGGAGCGAGCCCCTGGTGAGCACTGCTGCTCCTCCTCCTCAGCTGAAGTGCAGAGTGAGATCGAGCGTATATTTGAGCTGGCCAAATCCCTGCAGCTGGTAGTCCTGGATGCGGACACCATCAACCACCCAGCACAGCTGGCCAAGACCTCGCTGGCCCCCATCATCGTCTTTGTCAAAGTGTCCTCCCCCAAGGTAAGTCGGCCGGGTGGGGGGAGGGCTGCCTGCTAGAACATGGCACACCCGTGCCGGGGCGGTCAGGTTCCCTTTGCTTGCTGCCTCTTACCCCTGCTGCTGGTCCTGTGTCACGAGGGGCACGTGCCCGGTTCTTCCCAGGCCCAGCACTGCCTTCCCTCCCCAGGTACTCCAGCGGCTCATCCGCTCCAGGGGCAAGTCCCAGATGAAGCACTTGACTGTGCAGATGATGGCGTACGATAAGTTGGTTCAGTGCCCTCCAGTGAGTGCCTGGCTCAGCTGCTCCTGCACCTCTTCTTCCAGGGCCATGGGAGAGGAGAGATGGGTGGGGGCTGCTGCTGAGAGGAAGCCAACATTGTCGCTTCACCCTCCTTCCCCAGGAGTCATTCGACGTGATTCTGGACGAGAACCAGCTAGAGGATGCCTGTGAGCACTTGGCCGAATACCTAGAGGTTTACTGGCGGGCCACCCACCACCCAGCCCCTGGTCCTGGACTTCTGGGCCCGCCCAGTGCCATCCCTGGACTTCAGGTACCTTTTCCGGTAGGCACAGGTGTGCAAGCTAAGCCAGCCAGAGCGTGGCTCCCTTCCTTGTTCGGAGCAGTTCAAAAGGCTGACGAGTGGTTGAGTTGTGCGTAGAAAGCGAATATTCATGGGCAAAGGGTCTTCCGGACCGGGGAGCAAATCAGTGAGATAGGTAGTCAGAGACTGGCTTTCTAGGCATCAAGAGAAACATCTCCAAACCCTTCTCAGTCAGTACTGGAGACAGAGCCCAATGGTAGGAGTCCAGAGCTTCAGTTTTGTGTGTCCATCAGGAACATGCTCCAGCCTGCTGCTTCCTCCCATCCATGTCCTGTACTCGGGAACTGAGAGTTGAGGGGGAGAATCCCCCACTGTACCAGAGGCGGGAGGGAGGCCAAGGCCGGGTCGGGGCTGCTCGCCCGAGAGCTGTCGTGTGCCCCCCAGAACCAGCAGCTGCTGGGAGAGCGAGGCGAGGAGCACTCACCGCTGGAGCGGGACAGCTTGATGCCCTCAGACGAGGCCAGCGAGAGCTCCCGCCAGGCCTGGACGGGGTCTTCACAGCGGAGCTCCCGCCACCTGGAAGAAGACTACACAGATGCCTACCAGGACCTGTACCAGCCGCACCGCCAGCACAGCTCAGGGCTGCCCAGTGCTAACGGGCACGATCCCCAAGACCGGCTCCTGGCCCAGGACTCGGAGCACAGCCACAATGACCGGAACTGGCAGCGCAACCGGCCTTGGCCCAGGGATAGCTACTGACCGCACCGTCGCCGTGCCCTGGCAGGCACGGGCGCAGCTGGCTGGGACACCCACTCCAGGCAGGTTGGAGTTAGACTGGCATTAGGCTGCCACTAGACTCAGCTCCCACAGTCCCCTGCCACGCCCCGGCTCCAGGGCTGCCTGTGGTCCCAAGGTTCTGGGAGAGGCAGGGGGCCCTCTTACCTCCTGAGCACAGTGACCCCCTAGGCTCCATCCCAGGTACTAGCTGTGTGTTCTGCACCCTTGGCACCTTCCTTGCCTCCTGCACAAGAAGCTGCCCCACTGGGCAGTGCCCTCAGGCCAGGATCCCCTTAGCAGGGGCCTTCCCACTAGACTCAGGGAAGGGATCCCCTCTCAGAGTAGCTGCAAGGGTGGGGTGTGGATGCCACGGCGTGAGGAAGCAGCAAGGTTCCTGAGCAGGCCCGAGTCCTAGCAGGCAAGGGGCTTGGGGCTTACGCTTTGGAGTCTGAAGGCCTCTGCTCACCTCACTTCATGTCAGAAACGAGACAATCAGAGTGGAGTGGGGACCCACATCCACGGCTAGAGCAGCAGGCGGGGAGGCCAGGCTCACGACTGCAGCTGCAGGTCTGGGAGGGAAGGGTCTTAGCCTCTGGCAGGACCAGGGAGCCAGAGCACGATCACACTGCGGGGGACAGGAGCCCTCCTGGACTGGGGGTTTGGGAAGACGGAGTGTCCGGGCTCCTCGCCTCTCCTTTTGCCCTTGCATCCTGTCATTGCTGTTCTTGCCCTTCGGGCCTCCTGGAAGACAGGAGCGCCAGACCCTGACCCCTGACCCAGTGCTGCTTGTTAGGGTAGGGCTGGAGGGGGAGACGGGACAGCGGACAGCCCGAGCCGTCTGCCTGGCCACCCTCGCCTATGGCTCCAGCGTGTGACGGACAGAGCATGTTCCATAAGACCCCGCCCCACCTCAGTCATCAATAAAACACCATGCACCACCTCCCAGGCGTCTGTTCTGCGTCTCCCAGCTGGGGTAGCCTCACTGCGTGGCCCAAGGCTGGTGGAAGTAGAGAAATAGTCTGGCTTCTCCTCTCTCCAAGGACCCATTAAAGGAGGGGAAGGGCCAGGGCCGGGCGGGGGCACAGTATTCCCGGGCACCCCGAGCCCCTCCTGCCCAGATGTCTGGAGGGAGACAGTAGGCAGCGCAGGAGCTGTCTGGGTACGGCAGTCACAGCTTTCAACTGGCCTTGCCTTGAGCCAGAGGCCCTAGAAATAGCTGCGACTTGCACCCTGCTCACCCAGCTCTGAGCGGCAGGAAGAGCGTGAGACGTGGGGGAGGGACGCAGCCTAACGCAGCTGGCTGCAGTGTCCCGTGCCCCAGGCCTCTGGTGCGCACATCTTCACTGTCCCCTCCCGGGAGCAAGGTACCCAGCGAATGTCCTGAGACAGTGTCAGGCACACGGCGACGCGGTAGGTGAGTGGTTCTGTCTCACCTGCCCAGATCACAACTTTGCTCTCATCCTTGTGCAAAGCTCCCTAGAGGGCATCTAGGTCAGGGCCCTAAGTTCCGCGAGGCCAGAGCAGGAGAGATGCGTCAGGGTCCTGCTGCCGCGGCTCTTTCATCTGCCCTCGGGTGCTGCCTAGGCGCTTGTCTAGCCGCCGAGGGCCAGGGCTTCTCTGTGGTTCTCAAGGCCCCAACCAGTCCCCTGTGCCCGGTGTCCTCCCTCCTGTCCCGTGATGCTGAAGGGAGCCTGGGCAACGGGCTCGGCTACAGCTATATACAATCTCGATATTCGTTATTTATTCTCAGAACATACAAACTCATCTCAGAGAATAGAAAACAGATTTCACTCAGTGACTTAGAGATGGACACAGCCAGTCACCCTGTCCCCGTAGCTGCTAAAAAACTCCCTGGGGTAGGGGCACCTGGAGTGCACAGCACCCTTTGGCGTGGGGCTGTGCACTCTCCTAAAGGCTCAACCTGTTTTATACTCCAGAGGGAAACAGCTGTCAAAACGACAGAGTCCAAGGTCCGCGCTCCTCGGTGCCAATCCCTGGGGTCAACCAGGGCGACGCTGGTGCAGCGCACTCTTAGGCCGCCAAGCCTTGCCGAAGCAGGCCCCATCCGGGCAGCCAGGCGTTTGTTCAGTCCAGGGGCAGTGCCAACCAGCTGACCTATTCCCTGGCAAGAGCTGACAGCCTGGCACAATCTTAATGCCACACCCAAAGGGCAGAACAGGGCCAGAATCCGGCGCTTTGCTCTTGTCTCCTACGGCGTCTTCCTGTCCCACACTCAAGCCTCCGGACCTGAGGGCCAAGGCCAGGAGGACTCGCTGTGTGCTCAGCCCCAATAACCCCAGACAGAACCTGGAAAGAGAGGCGTGAGAGTTTTGAGGCGCAGGTGCCAGGCAGCATCACAGCTCGCCCTCAAGCCCTCGGGAGAGCGCTGCGTCAGGCGAAGATGGTCTCCTCCCGGCGCTTCTTGGTGAGGATGGTCCCTGGCTTGTGCTGGGCGTCTGGGTGGTTGGCTAGCTCTGGGGGACAGGAGGACACCGGGCTCTCCAGGATGGCTTGCTTTAGCTCATAGAACACAGCAGAGTCCTCTTTGGTGAGGAAGGTGATGGCCACACCACTCTTGCCCGCTCGTCCTGTGCGGCCGATGCGGTGGATATAATCTGGGGAGCATGAAAACATGTCACTGGGGACCGCTCTAGAGACCCCGATGAGTGGTGTCTGAAGCATCCACTCCTACAGGCATCCTCCTCCCCACTGCACCGCCACGGGCAAGAGATCCACCTCCCGCTGCCTGCATCTGACGCGCCCGCCGCTCTCCACCACTGACGGCAGTCAGCGTACCGCACCGAGGGCCATCCAGCCCCGTTCTCCTAGCTCTGAACAGAAGCACCAGCCTATGCGCTGGGAGAAGAACCCCAGTGAGCACCAGGGGCAGGAGCGCGTGTCACTAGGATACACACCCCCACCTGGGCGCTGGGTGCTCCTTACGCACCCCGACTGAGCAGGAGGGTGAAGGAGCCGCCCTCCCCCGCACTTACCTTCAATGTTTTTGGCCATATCGTAGTTGACAACCATGGACACATCCTGGATGTCGATACCACGGCCAGCCACATCCGTAGCCACCAGAATATCCTTGGCGCCTGCCTTGAGGTTGGACAGCGCGAACTCTCGCTGTTCCTGGCCTTTTCCACCGTGCAGTGTGCACGCGTTGTACTGCGGGAGAGCGGCCAGGTGAGGGGCCGGCAGCCGGCACAGGCGGACACGGGAGCGGGCGTGGGGGAGGGGACTGGGCAGCAGCGGGGACAGAGAGCCATGCGAGAGGCGTGAACAGAAAGGAGGAGCGGGTGACGGCGCGCTGTCCTGCAGCGAGGACAGCGCCGTGTGGGCGGCAGCGGCACAGGACACAGGCGGAAGCAAACTGCTGAGATGTGCAGTCTACAGTGAGAAGTTCCCATGAGATCAGGGTGGAGATGGAGTCAAGAAATGTAAGGAAGCCGAAGAGCCGAGTGAGGAGGCCACGCTGTTCCCTCACACACTCGTCTCAGGAGTAGAAGCATTGGTCATCACCATCTCCCTCTGGGCCCCACTGTCTCCTCTCCCGGAGAGACAAACAGCCTGGGCCCACCTGATGCCACACCCTGAGACCCTGCCAGGAGGTGCCGCACACCTTCTTCCTGGCCCTCCCCTCCTTGGACGAAGCCCTACGGCAGCACGGGTGCAGGGCTGGGGTGGAAGGGGCATCCTTTCCTCACCTTCCTAAGCCCCTCCAATACCCTTCTCCCTTCCGCCTGACTTGCTGAGTCCTGGAAAGGCTAAGGCGCAGGTGAGAAGCAAAAGCAGGTGCCCAGGAGCTCCTTCCTGCAGTTTCAGAAAGCACCGCCACGGAGGCCGAGCATGGCCCTCCTCTGCCAGACATACCCCCATCTTCTCCAGGGATTTAGCCAAGACATCGCAACCCTTCTTCTGGTTGACAAAAATAATGATGGGTGGATCAAAGCCTTGTTCCAAGATTGCCAGCAGCTTTTTCCTGGGAAGAGGACAAAAGCAAGCTGCCTGAGACCTCCCCTCCAAGTGAAACACCCGGTTTTGACCTATGAACACCAACGGGTCAAGGGTCTGTCATCCTCATAAGCATTCCAGAGAAGAAACAGGCTCTTCAGCACGGCCAAGCAACTGCCCTGCAGCCACCAGTTGCACCAAAAGTCCTTGAAGCCCTTTCTCCCTCCTCACTTCCCCTCACTTCCCCTCCTCAGCTGCTCCCTTACCTCTTCTCTGACTCCGACATGAGGAAGACCTTCTGCTCCACACGCTCATGAGGCTTGCCCGCAGAGCCAATGTACACCACAGCAGGTCGTCGAAGATAGCTCCTGGCTAGACGTTCCACCGCTGGGGGCATGGTGGCCGTGAACATGACCGTCTGTAAAAACAGGAGGCTCAGCCCCACAGCGGCCACTCAGCCCAGGCTACAGAACAGCGAACGAGTCCTGCTGAGAGTCTGACAGCCATCACCTTTGGAAAGAGTATCGTCTGCCTTCCCGTTTTCACCCAACAGCTGTTTACCAGGGCACTTTACACCTTACGATAACCGAAGAGCCGAGTTTGCTAGCTGTGGTCCAAGTAGTAACACAGTTCTTTGACATTGTTTTCCCAGGGCTAAACTAATGGCTCCTCCCTTAGGACTGTCGGGGACTGTACCTAGGCACACCTTATCATTCTGGAGAGGGACTCTGGGCCCACCTAGGCAAGAAGAGCCGAGACCAGGTCCGGCAACGTGCCCGTCTCTTCCCAACCCGGGGAGCCACCCTTACTTGTCGGTACTTATGCTTTCCTGACTCGAAGTTAGCCAACATCTTTTCAGGGTCCTCAGCCTCGTCGGTGTCTGGCTTCTGGTTGCTGACAGGCATGTGCTCCAGGATCTTCTGGACGTCCGGCTCAAAGCCCATGTCAATCATCCTATCTGCCTCATCCAGAACCACATAGGTACAGCGGCTCAGCACCAAGTAGCGATTTTCCAGCACATCAATCAGACGCCCCGGGGTAGCGATCACAATCTGTGGAGTATAGTGGAATCATACATGGCCCCTGCAGGAATTTCTGTTTTCTCTACAAACTGCCCACACACTTGGACAACTGACTTCCACACTAAGGAACATGGACCCCAAACTCCAGCCAGTCAGGTGTGGCCTGAGAACTGACATGAAATCACTTGTTGCTATTTTGGATTTTTCCAGGAATGAATGGAGTCCAAGTAAGACTGGGGGTGTTAAACAGAGGGGGCAAAATCTGAATGAATTTCTCAGACGGGAGAGACTAAGGAATTCTGGGCTGGGCATGATGGTACACGCCTTAACCCAGCAACAGGGAGGTTGAGGCAGGATTGTTGTGAGTTTGAGACCACCCTGGGCTACAAAGTGAGCCCAAGACCAGCCTGAATTGCATAGCGAGACCCTGTCTCAAAAAAGGAAAAAAAAAAAAAAAAAAAGAACTCTATGAAAGGGGTTGCAAAAAATTCTGTGGAAAGCTGGGTGTGCTGGCACACACCTGTAATCCCAGCACTTGGGAGGCTGAGGCAGGAGGATAGGTGCAAGTTCCAGACCAGCCTGGGGCTACAAAGTAAGCTCAAGGCCAGTGTGAACTGCATAGTGAAACCCTGTCTCAAAAAGACAAAAAAAAAATAATTCTGTGGAAGGAGATTACACAGAGAAGTCTCCAGAAGACTCAATTCCTAAGGCAGAACAGGCTGTCTTCTAAAAGGCTCTCCTCCCCTCCGCTGAGAAGAAAATGCACAGGCAATGGCATGGTTTGGCAGCGTAATCAGAGCACAGGCTTTGACTGCATCTCCGCTCTGCCAAATGCTAGTTCTGTGTGAGCTCAGGCCAAGTTACCACCCTGAGCCTCAGTTTCATCTATAAAACGGAGACACGTATTTCCTACTCTTGCACGGTTACTGTGAGAATTGATGAGTGACTATATATGTGTGTGTGTATATATATCCCTGAGGCGTCATCTGGGGCCTTTCTTCGTTTTATCGCACATCTATTCCAGAAACCAGAAACAAATCCCCAAGACAGAAAGCCTTCCCAAACAACAGACGGCTGCTGGCTACGGAAACGAACCTCACAACCCATGCGCAGCCTGAAGCCCTGGTCTTCTCTGGAGATGCCGCCAATGACGGCCACGGTGCGGATGCCTAGTGGCTTCCCAAACTTGATGGTCTCTTCCTCAATCTGCTGAGCCAGCTCCCGCGTGGGAGCCAGGATGATGGCGTAAGGGCCTTGGTCTGACTCTTCAATCCTGTGGTAAACAGGGTGTCCCACAGCTCCGTAAGTTTTGGGCCATAAACGGGAGCAAGACGAAGTCACTCTAGGGTAGCCATGGGAATAGGCTGGTGGGGAAAGGATGGAGCAATTCCATGTAAAAACCAGACTTCAGGATAACAAATTTCTCTAGGGAGTGACTTGCCAGCAATAAAATCATACACTTCTTTATACTGTAACCCAATTATCCCAAATAGGGAACCCAGAATCGGCAAGGGAGTTTCTGATTATAAACTTCAAAGACTGACATCAGGGGCTGAGGATTTTGGCTCAGTGGCAGAGTACTTGCTTAGCATACATGACACTCAGTTTAATTCCTAGCACTACAAAAACAAAACCCGAAATACTCCTTTGCTTCTTTCACTTTCCCTCCTAGCCGAGCCCACTCATCTTGACTGGGCTGGCCCTGACCCCACCTGTCAATTTTGGGAAGCGTAGTGATCCACACCAGCAATGGGATAAGGAAGGCTGCCGTCTTGCCACTGCCCGTCTCAGCGACACCAATGATGTCACGATTCTGTAGTCCAATGGGAATCGCCTGGCGCTGGATGGGTGTTGGCTCCTGCAGTAACCCAGGTACAGCGTAATGGGCACCTGGCCGCTAACGCGGTGGGCACACACGCCAGCTTCATGCGCGTGGGAGGACACTGAGTACAGCACACAGGGGAGGAGGCTCAAGAAGCACAACTCCCCAGAGCCGGTGTTTCCCCAGAAAGTGATCAGCAAAGTCAGTCTGATGTCAGCAGGTAGAGGAGGCACCAAACAGCAAGTCTGGTTCCTCAGATGAAGGAACACAGCAGGTCTCCGGAGTCCACCTACCCCTCCTTACCTTGTAGCCACACTTATCAATGACCTCCAAGATGTGCGGAGGCAGAGAAGAGTCCTTCCAGGACCGGATGGGGTTGGGGATCTTGCCGCCCTTGGTGGTGATACTGTAGTCCTCACGGAAGATCCGCCAGTCCCTGTCCGTCATCTCATCTAACTTCTTCTGGGACCAGTGACGGTCATCCCAGCGCTGCTTGGCTTCCTTCTTACGAAGTTTTCGAAGTCTTGCCCTGGAGCAGAAGGATGAAGTTGAATCAGGGCCTTCCACCTCCTTCCTGTGGACTCTGGGCTTTGCCCGACTTCCCTGGTCCCAACCACTCACTCCTCCTGCTCCTTTTCTTCCAAAGTTCTCCTCTTCTCCATTAGGTCTCCATAGAAACGCGATTGCTCTCGCTTCTGCTGCTTCAGGTCAATGCCTGCAATGAAGCCTCGCCCCAACAACTGCACCTGGTGCCGTTCTTTGTACCTGGGTTTGTGACAGGAAGGAAAGAGAAGAGGCTGTTACAGCAGCGGACGGGAGGGGCAGACCGGCAACATGCACCCTTCTTTCTTCCTGGCCAGTGTCTCTCCTCTCCCGGAGAGCTGGATGAATTCTGGCTTACCATTTCCCATCCTAGCCCATCTTATTTCTCCTACCTCTGTTGCCAGCAGCTCTTTCTAGGGCTGCCCAGAGTCAGAGTCCCAGCGCGCAGGCGCAGAGCCACTCACAGAGGGTTGTAGTCGATGGACGTGTCTTCCGACGCATCCCACTCAAAGACAAACTTTCGGTCGTTGAGATGCCTCGTTCGGCGTCGCTTTTTGATACCGCCCAGGTAACGCTCCTGCTCAGGGAGAGAGCACGAAGCCCATTAACTTCGGTACAAACCCTGCATGCAGAGACCAGGACGAGCAGAGGCCTCATTTCCGTGTGTGTACCTTAATAGCATGCAGTTCCTTGCTTTTATCCTTCTCTTCCCGGATCTTCTGCCGCCCTTCCTCGTCCTCATTTCCGTTGGTCTCCCGCTCCATCCTCTCCCTGCGTTCCCGACGCTCACGTTCTTGAGGGTCTTCTGCAGACCAAACAGAAAAGCTGCAGAAAAGCTCAGTGAAACAAAAAGGAGAGGGAATGGAGGGAATCTAGATAACGGATAAAGAGGAGGAGATTCATGATACAAGGAAAAGGAGATCTAACAGAAAGGCACTTTTTTCATTAAATCTCCGCCACCTATCCCTCTTCCAGGTTCTGGAGCAAATAGGTTCCTCTTCCTCCTAAGCAGCCCTACGAACCCATCCCACCCTTTCCATACAGGGAAGAAAAACAAACCCAGCATCTTCCTGCCCAAGTCTTGGAACTGCTTCCGTTTCTTCCTCTCCTCCTCAAGCACCTTCTGCCGCTCTTCCACCTCCTGCTGCCGCCGCTTCAAAGCTTCAGCCTCCCGCTCCGCTTTGGAGAGGAACTTGGGCTATAAACCGACAGGAATGCTAAGGGATCTGGGAGCAGGGAACAATCCCATCACTGCCAGGGAGATCACGGGGTGCCTAAAAGTACTTGCTCAGCCATTAAACTTGTTGAGGAAAACACAAATAAACCTAGGACTCTGTTATGGGATGAACTATGTGCATCCCTAAATCCGTATGTTAAAGTTCTAACTCCTAGTACCTCAAGATTTGACTCTACTTGGAGACAAGGCCTGTAAAAAGATGAAGTTTAAATGAGACCACTAGGTGGGCTTTCACCCAACCTGAGCAGTGTTCTCGTAAGAGCAAGTCTGGACACAGAAGCCAGGGGCACACAGGCCCAGACAGACTTCATGTGTAGTGTGCAGAAGCCAAGGAGGGGGACCCCAGAAGAAATAACACTACTGATGTCTTCACCTCACACTTCTAATTCCAGAACTGTGAGAAGATGGATTTCTGCTGCTGAAGCCACCCAGGCTGTGGTACCTTTTATGGGAGGCAGAGCACACAGCACAGAGCCTGAAGTTTACCTTTGCCTCAGCCTCCTCCTCAGCCTTCTTCTTGGCCAGTAGCTCCTCCAAGGATAGGGGCTGGGCCTGCAGATGAAACACAGGACTTCAGACCATGAAAGCTTCCTCCCCTTGGAACAACACAGCAGGGCTCAAGTTAAAGAGGAAGAGAAAAAAGTCATTTCTCTCCTCTACCTTCGGCTTCTTATCATGTTCATCATCTTCGTCCTTCTTAGAGTCTCTGTCCTTTCGAGATTTAAAATCTTTTCCTCGACCAGGAGATAAACTTTAAGGAGAAGGAACAAGAAAGACCCATATAAACGTACTAGCCCAGCACCTGCAGGAGGGTCAGGCTGAGCCCCAGAGGGAATGGAAGATTTCCTGCGACTCAACAAGATGGTCCATGGCCACCCATCATGGTCTAAAAGCCTCCTAGCAGGCATGGTCCCTCTGCCTGCTTCAAAACCTAATTATGGGGGGCTGGGGATTTAGCTCAGTGGCACAGCGCCTGCCCGGCAAGTGAAAGGTCGTGAGTTCGATTCCCAGTACCAGAAAAAAACAAAAACCAAAAAAAAAAAAAAAAAAAAAGAGTAATTATGGGCTGGGGATTTAGCTCAGCGGCAAAAGCGCCTGCCTGGCAAGCGCGAGATCGTGAGTTCAGTTCCCGGTACCGGAGAAAAACCAAAAAAAAAAAAAAAAAAAAAAAAAAAAATTACTAAAAAAAAAAAAAACAAACCTAATTATGTCTCTGTCTTGACCCCATTTTGGCTGTATCTTCTTTTTTAAGACTAATCACTTAGGAAAGTTGGCTTTCACTACTGACATCAAAAATATTTCCTCTAAAAAAAAAGTTTTTACTCTAGTCAGTAGCTGCACATTGAAAACAATTCTTAACTTTGTAATACACGACGAGCTGAGCCTAGACAGCCTCTACTATGAGCCAAGGAGACGCTGCTGTCTACATCCACACCACCTGCCCTTCCCAGGAGACCAGCAACCCTTCCCCACCTGCTACGTGCTAGGCTTCAGACAACCCCACTGCGTTTCTGTTATGAACATTCTGTCCTTTGCCTTGAATTCTAACCTACACATTCAGGGCCTGATAAGAACTTTACATACGCTGGGCGGGGTGCACACCTGTAATCCCAGCACTCGGAGAGGCTGAGGCAGGAGGATCATTGCACGTTTAAGACCAGCCTGAGCTACAAAGTGAGCTCAAGGCTAGTCTGAACTACACAGCAAGACTGTCTCAAAAAAGACCAAAAAAAGAACTTTACACAGAACGTTTCCAGAAGAAATTACAACACTGTGAAATTAAGCTATCCTAACATATATACGTGTTGAATGTCCTCAGTAGGAATACTGAATGGTATAATGGGGTTAAAGGATGTTTTATAGGCTGTTGATCTTCTCAAACCAATTTCTAAATTCCAAGAACAAGTTGAGCCTCAACTTAGCTGTGAATTTACTAACCATATACTTTCAAAAGAAGACATGTGCTAAGAACAGTTGTACAATTACTACCACAGGATCTGCTAAGGGAAATCAGTTTGAAGCTGAGCCAGCTGAGACGCAGACAGGAAGAGACGGCTGCATCTCCCTACCACGCGCCTCCACTCCTTCCGTTACCTGGACCGCTTGCGGTCCTTGTCGCGTCGGTGCCCATCCTTGTCCCTGTCTCGGTCCTTCTTATTCCGATCCCGCTCCTTATCGCGTTCTCGTTCTTTGTGCCGTCGTTCTCTAGAAGAGCAAATTTAAGAAATCATTTGACATTTCCATAGTGTCACTGCGACCCTGAGAAAGGTCCCATACTTTTCTCCCCAGTCATAACGTGGAGAATGTATTTCCTGGGGTATACATCAGAGTTGTACTGCTAAATATTAATGGCAGTAAGAGACCACCAACAACTAAGTGAATAGATGAACTTCGATCTTCTGGACCTTCATCTCATAAGCTCCCTCTCAACCTTTCTTACTTTCTTCTTTTTTTTTTGAGACAGGGTCTCACTCTGTATTCCAGATTGGTCTCGAACTATGGTGATCCCCCTGCCTCAGCCTCCTAAATGCTGGGATTACAGACATGCGCCACCACACCAGGCTTCTCTCAACCTTTAAGAGCTGGGAAAAGGAAAACTGAGAACACTTGCAGGTCCAACCAGGATAGGGGGACATTAATTTGTGAAAAGTAGATGCCTAATACTGGAGGCACTGGATGAACCGAGAAAGAAATCTGAAATGCATTCTCCCTTCACCTGTAACACACATGCAAAGTCATATCACCTCTCTGTAGACTTGGAACGGGAACGGGAGCGAGAGCGGCTGCCTCCCCGCCGTCTATCCCTTGACCGATGCCGTTTCCTATCTTTAGGTGGGGAGGACTTCCGGTCCCGGTCTCTATCCCGCTCTCTGTCAGGAGTCCGTGATCGCTTCCTTTCCTCCTTGGAAGGTGATGAGTCTCGGTCCTTTTTGTCAGCCAGCTCTCCTGCCATCTGTTGTAAAAGGAGGACTCAGCATACGTAACTTGCCAAGTCTCAAAACAATTCCAAGGTACATCATTAGTGTACCTACTTTACCGATGAGGAAACTGCCGCTGTGGTACGTGGACTAACCTGCCTGAGGACACACAGGCAGTACCTGGCACAGCTCCAGCTGTCTGGCTCCACAGGCCCATTTTCACTCACCGCACTATACAGTCTTTCCACATCCATGTCTAAATAGGTACAGTGAGCACACCACACTTCTGTGGATGGACTGTGAGGAGCATTAACACAGTGGTGGATGACAGTAACCCGGCTACTTCTAGAGACACCCTGTGTTACTCACCCAGGAGCCTGTTAGGTGTGCTCCCCACCAGGGTTAGTCACACGCACAGCGCTAAGTGAAAGAGATTCTCTTGAGCTCATACAGAAACTCAAAAGAGAAAAAGTTCAACTCTGAGATTCAGATTATAACAAGCATTATAGGGCCGGGGATATAGCTCAGCGGCACAAACGCCTGCCTGGCAAGCACAAGGTCCTGAGTTTGATTCCCAGTACAAAAAAAAAAAAAAAATCATAAAGAAAACCTGAATTTAAAAGAAGAAACAAACACGTTTTTATTCAGATTAAAAGAAATGTACTTGTAAGCCTGGGGCTGTATCCCTGTGATAGAGCACTTACCATTTTACCCTGGGTTAAATCCCCAGCACAGAGGCTCACTGCCCCCACCAAAAGAAGACAGATGTAGTTAACCAGCACTGACCCAGGGGGAGGCTGATAAAAGGAATTCAGTGAGGCAGGAAGGAGTCAGGTCATGAAAATGTGTTACAGGCTGGGGCAAAGAAACTTGCATTTCAACTTAAATGCAATGGGAATACCTTAAACAGGATGTGATGGGATCCAATTTTATATTATTAAAAAATTACTTTGGAGATTTGTACAAAAACATAGTTTTACACATAAAACCTCTACGAATGCTGTCATAGTACTGCTGGTTCTCCACACTCACCCATGGCTTCTGCATTCGCATATTCAACCAACTTCAGATCAAAACATATTCATATATTCTATTCTGAACATGTAAGCTTTTTTCTCTAGTATTTCCTGAGCAATATTTAACAACTTACGCTGAATTCAGATTGTGTTAGCCATTGCAGATAATCTACAGATGACCTAAAGTATTCAAGAGGATATGCAAACTCTATGCGCCTTTATGTACAGCACAGGAGCACCTCTGGATTTGGGTATTCACAGGGGGTTGTGGAACTAATCTTCCTCAGATACCAAGGGACAACTTTAACCAAGGCAAGAGATGACCATAGCTTGTTCTAGGAAGCAAGGTGGAAGGTGGTAACAGAGATGGAAAAGGTAAAGTTACAGGGATATTTTGGAGGCAGAGCTGACAAGATTTACTGATGAAGGGAAAAAGAGAAAGAAAAAACACAAAGCTCCCTAAATTTATTGTTTGAGCAACCTATTAGCTTGTGGTACCACTGGTGAACTAACCAGAGAAGACTAGGAAAGGAAGAGATTTAGAAGGAAACTAAAATCTCAATTTTGGCTGGGCTGACAGATATCAGTAAGAAAACCAAGTGTAGACTCCAAGGAAGCAGATGGAAACACAATCTGCAACTGACAGTCTAGAGACAAAAATCTGAGTCACCAATACACAGATGCGTGTTAAAAGTCAGGGTGCATTAAATGACATTACCTAAATAAGCAGCACAGTTAAAGAAGAATATAGAGAAAGCAGACCCAGGATTGAGCTCTGGAGCACTAACGTTTAGATGACAGGCACGCCGGGCATGGTGGCGCACACCTGTAATCCCAGCACTCTGGAGGCCGAGGCAGGAGGATCTTGTGAGTTGGAGACTAGCCTGGGCTACAAAGTGAGCTCAAGGCCAGCCTGAACTGCATAGGGAGACCCTGTCTCAAAAAGACCAAAAAAAAACAAACCAAAAAATCCCAAAAAGATGTCAGGCACAAGAGAAGCCAGAGAAAGACTGAAAATGGGACCAGGAATAGCTTAGTGGCACAAGCGCCTGCCTGGCAAGTGCAAGGTCGTGAGTTTGATTCCTGGTATAAAAAAAAAGACTGAAAATGAAGTCATCACCAGTAAGAAAAGAATTTTTAAAAAAGTAAAACAGAGAAACAAAAACATGTTCCAAGGAGGGAGTGGTCAACTGTGTCAAGTACCATCCAACCGGAGAAAGCCGACCGCGTAAAGAACCATTACACTTGGAAAATGAAGACTAGGGTGACCCTGACAAGAGCTGCTTCAATGTCATGAAGGCAGCAGCAGAGAAGCCTGAGCAGTTTGTCTGGCAGAGAATGAGAGCATGAGGACACAGTAAGTGCAGGCACCTTCCTCTGTAGCTCACTTGGGCCATACAGACCTGAGTCCCTCTGCTCCCGCAGGGCAGACTCCTTCCATTCGGCAAGGCGCTTACCAAGTGTCACCACCGCGGTCAAGGCGAGGCGCCGTGCGAGTTACAAGGAAGTCGTGCCCACAGACACGCCCCGAGACGGAAGCTCAGATCAAGTGTTAGAAGAGCTCAGAGGGCAGTCTCACTTCACAAGTGGGTCTGGAAGGCTCCACAGAGGAGGTGGGCGTCTACGCGCCAGCTTCTGGAGGGGTGTCCCCGAGGGCGCGGCGGCGGGCGCCCCCCGGACAGACGCGGCCG